ATCAACACATAAACGCATTGAACCATTCTTCTTTCTAACGGGAACGACCCGTGCGCAATATGGAGAATTACTTTCTTTAATAATATTCCTAGATAACAAATCATCTGTTATTTCTCTAATTTGTATCTTTTCATTATACGCAAATCTTCTAGGAGAATATGCAAATATCGAATCGTCTTTTAAATTAACTTTAACAAAGTAATTGTCCTCAACTAGAGGTGTATCACAGTTTTCAACTTCTTTAAGTACAGAAATTAGTTTATTATCTACATCTTTGTCAAAATCTGTATTGATTTCCGCTAATAAATCTTCTGATTTCTCAATTATATCTGTAGAAGCAATCTCAGAAAAAAGCTTTACTCTATCACTTACATTTTCATTCGAAGGATTAATTGTAACAGTAATCCTATGATTTGTAAGAAAATCACGTCCAAGAATTAATTGAGAAGTAAATGAACTATTCTTAAGAACCAGAAAAGTCATATTTGCAATATAATTCGGCAACAAATCTAATCTAATAGGAACATTAACTGAACCGGTAATATTAATGGGAATTCTATTTAAAGCTTTGTAAGAGGAATTAACTTTTTCAATAATATTACTAGGAACATCAAATTTATCAAGAATTTCATTAGAAATAAAGGAAACAGGGCTACCTGTATCTGAAAGCCCATGAAAAGAACAAGGAATATTATTAAACTCCATAATTCTTAAAACTGTATCATCAGTAACAATTTTTCTATCACTAGGAGGGTTAACATACGCTACATCGCCTCCTGAATTTTCCTCGGGGTCGTCAACAGCAGCCACCGGTGGGGGAGAAGAACGTTGACCAGACTGCGAGAATTCAGTAACAGGCTTCTTCTTCTTAAGTTTGTAATACTCCTCCTTTGAGTGATTTTTTCCACGGCAATATGTACAGAAAAGATCCTTCTTCTTTTGATGCTCAGGACCTCCAGACAAATAATTATCTTTGGGCTTATCCTTCCTGGATAGAGATGGAGAGGATCCTTTGGAAGACGTACGGCAAATGTCTGTAACTCGTTGCATCTCTCTTAAATATTCGTCAAGAGAATTAACTTTTAGAGTGGCAGCACTTGCTCTAATTGCAATATTGGAGATCCCACTATTCAGGAATCGAATGACATCATTCAAATAATTCCATAATAAAGTCGCACAACCTTTATGATTTTTGGGAATCTTGTCAAATCCATGTTTACGAAGCTCATCCTGCAAATTCCACAAAGAAAGTTCTTCTATATCTTTTTGGGTATACATCTTGAATAACTCGTATTCTGAGACCAATATGGGTGACCACGATGTGTGTCTTCAATATGGCTGACCACGATGAGCGTACCCAATATGGCTGACCACGATGAGTGAGACCAATATGGCTGACCACGATGAACGTACCCAATATGGCCGACCACGATGAGTGAGACCAATATGGCTGACCACGATGAACGTACCCAATATGGCCGACCACGATGAGTGAGACCAATATGGCTGACCACGATGAACGTACCCAATATGGCCGACCACGATGAGTGAGACCAATATGGCTGACCACGATGAACGTACCCAATATGGCCGACCACGATGAGTGAGACCAATATGGCGGACCGGCTGATGCAATATCAACCAAAATTTTCTCTTTTTTTTTTAGAAGACAATAATGTCTTTTTTAGCACATAAATTGATGGCGTAATCACACGCGAACAACGGTGATAGTTTTAATTAACTTCTTTGAATGTATAAGAAGGTCTTAAAGCACACCACACTCTTGATTGCGTGATGGCGTAGTAACACACTCGAAGAATTCAACGATAAATGAAGCACTTCGCGGCGGTTAAAACCAGACTAGCATAAAAAGAAAAATGCCGGAAAAACCACAGAAATATCCCGCTTCTGAAGCTGTAAGGAGGTACCGAGGGGTTAATGAGATTTTAATGTGTCAGGAATGAAGGCGTGAAAGGATTTGCTAGAACTGGTTTATTAACAAGTCACGCAAAAAATGCTTATTCAATGACACTTCAGTAAGATCAGAAAATCTAAAAAACTTACAAATATATATTTTGAAACTATAAATGCGATCACACAAAATATAAATATAGAGAGAAACAGGCGAGGTTAAGATAACTGTCATGTACCTTGTTGCAACATTTAAGAATTTGTTGTACATTCTTATAGCACCCAAACACTTTCACGCAAAAAATGCTTATTCAATGACACTTCAGTAAGATCAGAAAATCTAAAAAACTTACAAATATATATTTTGAAACTATAAATGCGATCACACAAAATATAAATATAGAGAGAAACAGGCGAGGTTAAGATAACTGTCATGTACCTTGTTGCAACATTTAAGAATTTGTTGTACATTCTTATAGCACCCAAACACTTTCACGCAAAAAATGCTTATTCAATGACACTTCAGTAAGATCAGAAAATCTAAAAAACTTACAAATATATATTTTGAAACTATAAATGCGATCACACTAAATATAAATATAAAGAGAAACACGCGAGGTTAAGATAACTGTCATGTATGCAGTAGGTAATATAGGCTACACTACGGCCTACGGTTGGAAAGAAACTACAGATGTTCCGAAACACTGCATTAACCAATTATAATAAGGAAATTTTATAATTTTTTAACCTCATTGTGTGTGACCAACCACCAAAATATTATGCAGCATCTATATCGACTAATCTCTTATCGACCGCAGTCATAGAAAAAAGCACTGTTAGAATATTTTTATCAAGCGACGCGGTAGCGTCACGACGCCAAGTATATATAAAAATTCGTTCCAGCTTGTCAACGGTTTGCCTATGTACAGGGGCCGCGACGCTACCAAGTAGCTTATCCGGAGTTTTACGTCTAATAAACTTTCAATAAAAATTCCTAAGGAACCAAGCCGTTAATCAAAAATCTAACGGCCCTTTCCTATACAATGTGGATGCAAGCTTTCGATTGCGACCAGTTTGAATAAGATTAGTGCAGTCAATCCTGAGGAATGATAATCGTATACCAGAAATGCGGCATTTTATTTTTCTTCGTAAGGTTCAGACTCTCACGTACGTATGCTCGCACGCACACACGCAAAGCGATTTTGTCCCTCAAGGCGCGTTTGCAGCGCTCATGTACGATTATTCGCTTGAGTGTGCAAATACGCCTTGAGAGACAATGTGTATGTGCGTGCATACGTATATGAGACGCATCAAGCGACGCGGTAGTCGCGGTACGCGGTAGCATCGCGACGCCAAGATATAATGTTATTAAAGTTAAGGTTATATTTGAATCTGTCTGCAGAAAATATATTTGGTGCTATCGAATAAGTAGATTGAAAATTTCGAGGAAACTAATATATACAGGGTGTCCTAGACCACCCGTACACTCCTTTTCTTTCAAAAACTAAGCATTTTAGAGAAAAACGTTTTGAACAAT